CATTTATCACGATTCTCTTGGGGAGCAGCCAGCAATCTCCAAAGGAGGTGAGGTGGGGGCAGGGGAAGGAAGATAGTGTGGGTAGGTGACAGAGTGCCAGCAGAGCCAGGAGGTGGCTCCGAGGGAGGCCCTTGGAATGACACCTTGAGCGGGGAGATACGGCATAGCCACACAGGGCCTGTCTGCCCAGACACTCTCCAGGAGAAAGTGCTGGCCTCGTCCTGCCCCATGTCCCGAAGTTCAGTCTGCAGGAAGCAGGTGGAACCGTCTCAGAGTCCACCCCTCCTCCTTAGTGTCTTTCCTTCTTCTGAAGGCACTGAGGATAGCTGAGGGGGCAGTACTTAGCCAGGGCTGGGTAAGCAGCTCAGTGGTACAGCACTTACCCAGCATCCCTGAGGCCCTGGGTTCAGTCCCTAGCACCACAAACAAAAACCCCCAAACAACAGCCCTATCCCACTCAGAGGGAAGTGGGAGGACGGCATCTCCACCTCTAGTTTCTAGAACTTTCCACCCTTAATTCTGGGGGAAGTTAAAGAAGCCACAGCCTGCTAGATTTAAAGCAGGGCCCTCCCTCTCACTGCCCACGATCTATACATGCTGTTCCCATGTCACTCCAGTGCTTGGTTTCTGTGGTAGCAACTGTCTGGGTGACACTGGCTCTTGGCTTTCTCCAGCCTTGCCAATATCTGAAGCCAATCCTTTAGTATCCCTCTTGGGCCATGGCTGGTTTTGCTTTTCCAAGGCTGTGAATCAGGCAGGGAAGTCAAGAGTTCAAGTAATATCGACATTCAAACTCATGATCCTAGAGGGACTGGGCAAACAGCAGCCTGCTACCAAGACTCGGGGAGACACCCTGAGATTTCTTTTATTCTTCTTAAATGGTGCTTGAACAGCGCAACTATCTACTTCGTACAAGGCAGGCAGAGCTGCTACGGGAGTTGAGAAGCCATGTCTGGGACCTGCACAGCAAAGGGCATGGCTCTTGTCTTTATTTTCATTTTTTTGAATTTTTTTGTCGTTTTTATAAACGAATCTGACCACTTCACTTAGTGAAGCCTACCTAACCTATGGGGAAAGTAGGGAAGAAGAGGGAGGTGGGCTCCTAAGGTTTTGGGAAATGTGTGTAGAGGGAGGCTGGGGAGCTACTCAGGGATTTTCAGTACGGTTAATGCCTGGTCACTTTCTAATGGTTTCTGAGCCAGGAGAGGCGGGGCTGCTGGTGGTTGTGGGAAGACTAAGTACCTTGGGCTCCAATATACAATGGTCCTGGACAGGAGAGCACACGGGGCTAGGGAAGACCTGCAGTGGGGTCCATATGTAGCAATGGAAGTGAAACACAAAACCAAATGCTGTAGACAGTAATCATGTTGGCTCTGAGGGAGAGGCTGGAGGGGATGGCTGGCACTTTTTCTCACCTGGCTTGAGGGAGGGTGTCAGGCCACAGGACCCATGGCAGAGGATACCAAGAATGCTTAAGCACCTAAGGCTGGGCTGCATCTTGACAGACCAGCTTCACGATGGGGAAAGGAGGGGAGAATATTATGCCCCTGCCCAGTAAGCTTTGCTTTCTCACTCACCGTTCAATAATCATTCAATAAACACCCCTTTTCTGCCAAACACAGTTGGACATTAGGAAACCAAAAGTGAATAAGCCAATGCCTACCCTCAGGAGCCTGAAGTCTACAAGGAAGGACAGGTTTACAAACATGTAACTGCAGCCCAGGTAAGGGTTGTGATCCTTGGAGTATATACGAGATGCTGTGGGAACCCAGAGGCTAAAAGTCTGATCTTTCAGTCTCTACTTGATTCAAAAGCCATTCCAACTGTGTCCCAAGTAGGAAAAGGACCGGTAAGGGAGGAGCCGAGCAGCACTAATAACGTTCCTGATAACATATGCCCAAGGGTGATAAAGAACACACACACCTCCCACAGAGATGTCCAAACGAGGAGGTGAAGAAATACAGTTACCTCTCAAAGGCTTTAATATAACTTCTAGGTTCTTGAAGCAACTATTCAAGGCCACAGAAACTCAACAATTAGTTAAGTAATTACCCAGCAACACGATTCTGGGGAAAACAGAACTCTCAGGCCAAAGGGTAAATGAGATTTGAAACATAAACAGGAGGAATTGGTCCTGGCTTAAAAGGACACAGCAGCTTTCTGAGTCAGACTGTAAACACCTTAAGAGTCAGGTCTCCAGGAGCAGCAGCAGCAGCAGCAGCCACTGCCACTACTGAGTGTGAACCAGATAATTCTGGCCACCTTCCTAATGTGTCCAGGCATGAACACAAACACCACCCCCACACAGCACCCCGGCAGCTGGCAGACATGTGCTCTGCCTGCAAAGGTGAGGGCCGGCAGTTCCAACCAAGGGTGGAATTTCATTAGGATGGTGGATGCTTACAAAGAAGAAAGCATACAACCAGTCCCTGAAGTGGGGTGGGAAGAAAGATGCCCCTGACCCCCGGAAGCAGCTCTTCCTCTCCACCTGCACGGGTGTGCAATGTCGCTCTGCGGCTCTGTGCCCCGGAGAGAGGCGACACTCAGGAACCACTGAACAGTACTATCCCCTAAGCAGGGCAATGGCCCAGGGATACCAGGACACAGAGAGATTCATTCTTAGACTCAGCCCCAGGTCTTAAAGGGAAAAAAAAATAGTCCCCAAAGTGATTCATTCATCTTTAAATAGTTCACAGAGGCAGATAAATTTTCTCCTTTAGAGGAGAAAGATGCAGGACAGAGAGACAGATACACTGGCCTAGGGTCACACAGTAAGTTGCTGCCAGAAAGAAGCTGGGCCTCTTGTCCTTTAATGTGCTATTTCTAGAGCCTCTGACTTTTTGAGTCTACACAAGGACCAAGAAGGGGCTTTTCTCTACCTGGGATGATGCCAGTCCAGCTGGCCAGGTCCTCTCTGACCTTGAATGAAGCATTTTTACCAAGGGTCTATGGGTCTATAGAGTCAAAAGCTCTCCCTGGTTGAGACCTCCCAAAGTCACTTGTCCGATCAAAGGGGTGTGGGGTAGGGCAGGGAAGTTCCAGGTAATGAGCAGGAGTACAAGATAACAGACATACCCAGCTGCTGTTGCTGAGAAGCACAGATAAGAGTGAGATGCCAAGCCAGGCATGGCGGCACACATCTGTAATCCCAGCACTTGGGAGGCTGAGGCAGAAAGACTGCCATGAATTTCAGAGTAGCCTGGGCTGCACAGTGAGTTCAAGAACAGCCTGAACTACTGGGAGATCGTCTCTCAAAAAACAAAAACACCAACGACAAAAAGAGGAAGGTGCCAAATGCTTCAAAAGAAGCAGAAGCTTTGCTGAGAGAAGCTGGAATGAGGACCTGAAGTCCTTGGGATGATACTTCGTACAGGTACTAACACCTTCTGGCCTGGCACACCCAGGGAGCTTGACAGAGCCCTTGCTGGTACTTACCCGTAGGTGGGGAATTCCCTTAGGCACATTCCCCTGGCAGAGGGGCACTAAGGGATTTTCTTCTGTTTTTCCCTAAGCTCCAGCGGAAGTAGAACCTAGACCATGGGAACTCGGATTGACTGTCTAACCATTAATAGCAACACTACCCCATCTATAGCAGCAGCCATCTGGGTCAAGGACTTCCCCTTGAGGCACCCTGGTTCAGTAGAAAAATCACCAGACCAAGCCTACTAACCAGCTGCTGGACCTTGGACAAAACATTTAACAGCACTGTGATTCGGCTTTCTCCTATTTATGATGTGGATGCTGGACAAGATGCCCGCTATATTTTTTTTTTCTAGTTCTAAAACTGAGAATTTGACAGAAGCCCAAACTTTAATTTTCCCAAGAGTACGATGGCTGGGAGTGAGCTGTCATCACCACCCTCTGGGATCTTTCTCATTTGTCCCAACAGGCTAGCACTTCTGCGCTTTGTGTCTGCACTTCACACCACGGCCCCTGTGAAACCTTTCCAGCAGCTGGCTTAGATGTCTGCTCTGCTCTTCTCCTAGGAAACATATTTTAGACTCACAGTCCCTCTCTCTTGCAAATCTGAACCTTAGTTCTGAGGCTGAGGTGGGCAAGGACGCTAAGCTCCCAAGAATGGTAGGTCTGGTGTGGTTGGAGCTGGCACAGAAGTGGGGCTATAGGGAAGGATTTCCCTGCGTTCTCAAATTCAGAGAGGCCCAGGGACTCTCTAGCCATGAAATGGGATCAAGCTAGCATTTCATAATGTGGTCTAGCTCAGTTCTTGGCCCTGGCAGTATTTCTGCCTTCCCTGACCATACCAGGTTGCTCTTATGGTAGACGGAATGAAGGCCTGCGGACGTCAACATCACTGCCCGGGTCAGTCAAGTCAACATTGATGGCGCAGTAGGGTGGAAATTCAGGGGTCTGGAGCCCCAGGCCAGTATTTTTTTCCACTTTTCCATCCCCACGCCGGAGATTTTGAAAGGACCTCTGGCCTTCCAGCCAACACAGGGTCCTGTTTAAAAACACCGAGGAACGTCGGGCTCCAGGGGAGGGGTCTGGTGCAGAGAGAGTCAGAGCAAAGTTTGGGGCAGCGCTGGGTGGGAAGGACGTGACACCGGGAGGCCATCGCTGCCCCTTCTCAGCCTTTGCCCGGACTGGGGCAACAGAGGCCTGCAAAGGGAGGCGAGGAAGCCCCTGGACCAGTTCTCCTGAGGTAAGGGGGAGAGATTTGGGCTTTTCCTCCCTTCCTCTTCTTTCTTTCCAGTGGGGCCTCCCAGCCCCCCACGCCTGAAAGTCCCAATCCTGACCGCGCTAGCACCGGAGGGCTGCTTTGCCCCACTGGAAACCCGGCCCCTCCCCCAACACGTTACCGGGGCTGCCGGAGACCCCCACCCTTCGGAGCCGCCGCCTCCGCGCCCCTCCCGACCCGGCGGCCCCGCACTCGCTCCCCAGGAGGAACCCTGCGAAGTGTCATCAGCCGTAGAACTCGCCCGGCACCGGGCAACCCGGCGAGGCGCCCTGCAGCTCGGGTGCCCCCGCGCCCCCAGACTCACCCAGAAGAGCATGTTGAAGAAGAAGAGCAGGTATTTCACCAGCGGGCTGACGAAGGAGAACTCCTCTCCGTAGGCGGCCGGCGCCCCCGGTCTCCGCGCCATGGTCCGCGCCACCCCCGGGGGCCTACCTCCCCGCGGCCGCCGGCCC